AATTTAATAAAATTATGAATATTTTTTAATAAACAAAAATTAAATAGTTTTTCGAAATATCTGTTTATTTCATATTTAAACGAATTGTTCCGCAACTTCTTTTATGTATCTCTCCGAAAATCGAGTTTTATATAATTAATTTTTCAAATATTAAAGGTCTTACAAAAATGTTAGAACTTACCTCATTCTCGTAATATGTATCGTAGTGATCTATGAAGCATTGAGTTCTGTCCGAGTACTCCGAGATTGTCTCGTTGGTCCACCATTGCCGGAGATTTCCATCGCCGTCGTAATGTCGACCGCTATTGTCGAATCCATGAGTTAATTCATGTCCAAGCACCGTGCCGATGGCGCCGTAATTTAAGGCCCTGCGATCATTACAAAAAATTGCTAATTTTGTCATTAAAAAATTTCATGCTTCTTGCTGCTTATTGTTTACTTTTATCTTATTATTATATTCATTTTTATATTATATTATTTCTCTATTTTTTATACACATATAAAGATAATAATGCAGTAATTATTCCTATTCTTACTCAAGACCCAATTCATAAAATGGGAATTGAAGAATTCCGGCAGGTATGGCTGCACGTGTGAATAGTGAAAAAAGAGAGAATATACGTTAATGTAACATTAATAACAACCAGAGAACATCTCAGGTTGTTTTCAACTAAATAGATTATTAAAAGTGTAATACAGTAAAATTAATCAGCGTGTTATTTTAACAACAAGAGATCAAGTTATTACATACTTATATGATTAAGTTGAAACGTGTGGAACGCATTTACATCGGTAGGGTCAGTTGCCCAGCTGATTATCCGTAATAAAGCGAAGCATGAAGACAAAGGAAACCTCAGTATTGACTTTTATTGACGACAATTCTCACAATTTTTCACTTACTATGACTCGTTGAATAAATTATCGTCATATAGGCACGTCCACGTGGTGTTCCATTGCAATCGAACGATTTGCATCATGTTCTCCAGATATTTCGTTTCCGACAGGTCTATCTAAACATTACAACAGATCAATATTATGCAAAATACATAAATAATACTATTGCATTATCTCAAGTAAAATTAATGTACGTATAATGAAAATTCTACAATTAAAAAAACGTTAAATGTGTATTTTTCGCAGATTCTTCCTGTTTTATTATAAAAATTTATTATAGAAAATAATTTTATTACTGTATATTAATTTTTCACAAGACTTACGCCTTTGTAATACTCGTTGAGCTTCTTCTCATTGAAGAGCCACGGGGGAAATCCAATTTCAGATTCCATTTTCCGGCTCTTCTCGAGTGTCGCTTTTCTCGTTGACTGATCCATCCAATCTGTCTTAATGACAAGCGAGGCGAACGCCTCTTTTATATCGTCCAGCATTTCCAATACTTTATTGACTTTCTTATTGTGAAATGTGGGATCTACGTACAGCCGTGATACCGCCATTCCTGCAAGTCGATGATAGACACCATTAATTGAAGTCCAAGATATATCGTGAAAATATATTTATTAAGTCTAAATTATAGAGAAAATTAGGTGCCAGCTTATTTACTATATACATTATAAAATGTATTGTTCCAGTTTTAATCGAAGTCGTTGTACATACCCATTAATTCATTGACAACTGACGCACAAAGCAACGACTGTGACTCTGCTACTTCCACGTCTGTTAACTCATTCACATACTCGTTCCAAATTTCCTTGAGCTTGTTGGACGAGTGGGGCACCACAATATCCACAATGGCCCACCAAATGTAGCTTTCTGAATCGAAATTGAGAAAACTTTTTTGAAAACTGAATACCAAATTTTTATGTCAAAATAAAAACAGCGCAAGTAACTTAATTAGAATTAGTTTATATACGTATAAATAAATATAAATCAGGAAGACATACCCAGCTCTTCCTCCTCGTAAGCAGTTAACACCAATGCCACTTTTTTCAAATAATCCAAATTGCCGATGAGAATTTTATCCTTGTCAAGATTCAACGTAACGATACCCTCGAAAAGGGATTCAATAAAGGGCCGCCAAATCAGTTTAGGCGTTAAAGACGAATTAGTATCCGTTACATACTCGTCTGTCAACTGTTGTAAATCGTCTACCATCAGAAAATCGTCATCGCTCAAGCCTTCTAAGGAAATACTCTTATTTTTATCTGCACGTCCCGCCTGCAAAACAAATTATTTCTACAGTCAATCAGAGAAGATGCCATTTTAGAATCTTGATAGAAACCGCGCGCCGATTATTTGTTGATCTTAAAATTTTCTTGTTGGAACAGCAAATACACATATTTAAATCAATTGTCTATTAAATTTTTTATGCCGATAAGCATCCCATTAAAATGTCTAAAGAATTCATGATGAAAAATATTATCCCAGCCAGGGTTGACGTATACTTTCGAACCTGGACTCCTTATCCGTGACTAGTGTCTTTATCATTGCACAAACCGATAAATCTTAAAGAGAACGTTTTGTTTCAGACGTGAAACAATAATAAGTAAATTCTTATTTTTATTTTCACAATTTTTGCCTATGTGAAGACATTAACTTAGAATTTGTTTAGCCAGAAAATACTTACGTAATAAATAAGGTTGCTTAGGTTATAAAGCATATGAACAAATTCTTCCAATTCATTATTGTCCATTATCAATTCATCCTCCGAGGTACATTCATTAACAGTGCCATTGTAGATGACTTCTTTAATAACATCAGTCATATAGGTGAGTTCGGCGTCTTCGTTCTCGAGCAACATAGCTTCATCATCTAAATCACCTCGTTTTCGTAGTTGCGATCTGATGGTTCGCAACCGCTTCTCCACTTCTTTATCGCTATTATTATTATTATAATCAATTTATTGCCATATATTTGTTGTGTATTAAATAAGTTTCAAAAGACTTAATAGTAATAACAATTAAAAATTGTAGAATAAAAAGTGTACGTACGCGGGAAAAGGATTGGAATGATCCGGAAAGTGAAAGGCCATTATGTTTCTGCTCCTGTTCCTAGGATCAGGCATGAGACCGAAGCCAAAGAAAACGTCGTAGCCCAAAGTTCTTTTTATCGTAGCGAGTTGCTCTATGTAATTGGTCGTTGTGTTAGTAACAAACGCAGGCAACAGGGGCAAATTTAATAACTCCAGCAAATAAAATAATGGCGACAAATTGAGTTCGTTGATGGTATCTGAAATTTATCTTGTTATGAGAAATATTCTAAAAGTTTAAAAATAATTAGAAGTTACACGTATTACTGCGGACTGTTACTTGTGTGATATATGTACATTATGTTATAATTAACGTGTCTCTGATTAAAGCAGTGGCTTCTTTAATTGACATCTACCTAATTAAACAAAAACAGCAACGTACACACGTCCATGCAGCTGGTGAACAGAGTCTTGGCCTGCATCACTGCCCAGGGTACTTCGCTGGCAGACATATTAACTTTTAGCAAATCCCTTATCTTTCTGATTACGCGATCGCTGCGCTCGCTAAACCAGGAATTCGTCAGGCTGGAATCCGGGATGGGATGTTCCTGCGACCATCTGCCGCATGCATATCTAAAGAAAAGAGAAAGAAGAAAATTTCACGTATCGTGAAGATCATAAATGCAGCTTAAATAAATTCTTTAACCAAGCGGATTAATAATAATAAAAAGAAGACAACGGTATTAATTGTTACGTTTTCCGACGAATGTAGCGTTAATTCGTGATACGATGTCTCACACAAGCGAGTGAAAGTGAACCGCGCGAATGCAGTATTGCGTAACATGTAGAAATAATAGATTTGCAGAGTGATAGAGAAATTGCGCGAATGTTATAATTTCGCGAGGTGCACATCAATTACGTTCGTTGTACATACAATAATAGCACGGCACCACAATAAATTTACTCACTGATAAAAATCATCGCAAGGATTTACCGATACGTTCATAGATTCCTTCAAACTAGCCGCTAGGTGAACAAAGAAGAATAAATAATTGCTTCCAGGGTAGTGATTGCCATACATTTTTCTTTTTATTGTTATACGCAATGTTTGTTCACGTTAATAATAGCACAAGTATATACATACAATCACCAGTTATTATAATAACTGCATACTACTCACCTACTCGAACGCAATCCTCGCTATCACATATCTTCACCATGCTCTTGCGTGCATCTGCAACAACAGTATTATACGTATAAAATATTTCTAGAATTGTCGACAACTTTTTACATTTTATCACCGTAAATTTATTGCATCTTTTTCAGTTTTCAATTACGCATCAACGTAACTTATTATACTTTTATTTAATCACATCCCAGTCTTCTTACTCCCCATTAAATACAAACAGTTACGTAACATTAATATTACAATTTTCTCTCCACTCAACAATATAAATGTAACATGTTATATATAGCGTTTTTTGAGTAGAAAATAATAACATTAATGTTATCTACTGTTAGTTGGTATTTACTCTTGTATGTATTTGCGTGTTTAAATACTTCTTGCGTATCTTTTGAATAAATTACGTACTTCAATAAAAATGTATAATTAAAGACTAAAGGTATCTCGGTATTTTTATTATGGAGAAAAACATCAGATTTTGCCAAGAAAATTATATTTAAAAGGGGATGCCCGGTAATCTAAGGAAGATTTGATATAATATACATATATTAATTATAAAAATCTCACGTAGAGCGCTATAGATCCTCATATAATAACAATGATGGACACGCGATACAAAGTTCTTCCGTGGAACACACGCGCTACGTTACACGATCCATGTCCCATGTTTGTTAAAATATTTACACAATGTCAATGGCGATCGAAGATGCTAAATGGTTTTCCAATAATTTGTCAAGGATATCTAATGTAATTGCAAGGTATTGAAGGGGATATATTAAAGCATCGTAAGAGTTGAGTCATTTCTTTTAAAGGGTACTTCCTGTTGTCACGTCTATTGTCTAAGGTTATACCTACTGTAATTTTGATAAAGTTAGTTCACAGTTGAAGGACTTATTATAGATACGATAGTGAGACATAAGACAAATGCAATGACATTTGACAAATTAAAAATATCTTTACTTTAATTCTAATTTGTGTGCATTATTTTTTTAAGTGTATTATTTTTGTAGCAAGTAGATACGTTAGGCAACATTTCTTATATCAACAATGCAAATGTTGTTCGTTGGAGAATTAAACATATAAATAATATGACATTTTCCCATAAAAATTTGATACATATTATGTAATTTAAATACATCTTTAATATATGTACAACATGAATAATAATAGAAGATAGCCTCTATCGGTCAAGCTGGATCTTTAATTCATCTTGAATATAATTCTATCTATGACAAATAAGATAAGTTAAAGAAAAAATACTTACAAAGTACTGCAAGCACGACAACTGTTATGAACAAGGAACCCACCAGGAAGCAAAGGATTATCACCGTCAGATTAGAAATCTGCGTTCGCTTCTTGAAGCTACACACATAACAGATCTAGTTAACGGAGGCTTTGGATTAATCTATTTGCAGTGAGCAAATATGTTCTCGATTTAATAAAACGATTTAATGGTCACTAGTTAGAAAACTCTCGTTTTCTTACTTACAAAGTTTTCCTGGATCTTATCGACACTAGGTGATTTTGGCTTCCGACCGAATAAACGGACCCTTCATCCTCTGAGGAAAAAGAAAATACAATAATATCCAGTCAGTGAGACAAATTACGACATCATTCCGAGAAGCAGCAATTATCACGTAAATTTTCATATTTCAAAAATTAATCTTTATTTATAATTATACTAGTTTTTAAATGACAGAACAATTAATATCTATTGAGAACATGCATCAATTTTTTAATAAGTATTATATTTGATATATTATAAAAACTATATATTTATAAAATACTATGTTGCAAAAATTTTATTTTATTTTTTTAAAGAATATTAAAATTATTGAGTGATCTACATTTATTAATTTAGGCTTCCATTTACACATAGCCTGCTTTTGTTATCGCACTATCAAAATAAGGTCATCTTCACGTTCAATAGATTTCAAAAAGATGATAGAAGATAAAACTAAAATTTCTTCTCCGAATCAATTATTACCATTTTCTTTCTCCTAATTGATTTAATTATTTCAAACCAATCAACCTTTTTATATACGTACAATCTTTCTTTATAATTTTCAATATTATTGGATGTAATGAAATTTTTTTGCGATAATTTTAATTTAAGTATTTTAACAAATAATGCTTTTTTTGTTAGTAACAATAAGAGCCAAATTAAAATTTTATTACATACAAAATAAGAAAATTAACGAAACAAATATGAAATAAAAATGTTTGCTCTTATAAATTAGCAGAATCCATTTATAAATTTACTTTTTTATGCAATATTTTTACTTCTTTCTCCATTTCTTTGTAATTATGTTTTCTTATTTATTTCATTTCTTGAAAAGAAATGAAAGAAGTGCTAAAAGAAGAGATATTATTATTAACAATAAAAATCATGGTATAATTATTGTTGTTATTTATGCTCAATTGTTATATTATTTTTATGATTATTACGTTAGTATCATATTCGCCATCTGGTAGTTCGTAGAAAGCATGAACAGGCTCGTAATATAAAACTTGCAGAACCTTTTCTGACTTCAACTTTAGTAAAATATCACCGGCTACGAGAACATTACCGGGTTACATGCATATATACGGTGCACCGGAAAAGAAAAGTCAGGTAGACAAGCTAGCGTGTAAAAATATAACTTACTGCGCTCGTTGTTCATGCTGAATGGCCCACTGACCGGATCGAACTGACGACACTGAACACCGAGTCGAGCCGGACAGACAACGTCGGGTGTCCATACGTTCACATTTTCCCAGTGGTTCTCGTACCTCGTCGTCGAACCAATAACAACGGCGACCGAACGTCAATTTTCCCATCCGACCATCCGCGCGATAACACCCACACGCCTGCGAAAAATGGATAACACCGGGTATCTTCCATCGATGGCGAGCCTTCTACCCCTTCGATATCATCGAGTACGATAGTTTACGTACGTGTCGGGGATAAATCGAGAAACTCCAGAGAGAGTAATAAAAAAGAATTAAATAGGGATTTCTTTTGTTGTAAATTCTAAATGTGTATTTCAGTTTAGGAAAAATAAAGAATTTTTCTTCCTTGACATAATATAGAAAGATTCAAACGTGCAATATAAAAAAAATTAACTCGCGTACGAATTTATTTTACCAATTTTTCATATATTCTCTCTATTGGAAAATATGTATTTTTAATTATTCAACATAACATACTTAGTAATTTTTACGTATTTACGTATAATTATATTCAATAAAAATTTTATATATTATATTCTATAAAATAGTAGTGTACCTATTTCTACGTTTTTAGTTTTGCAACTTTTTACAATTATACAACTTTTATTGTACAAAATGAAGGTAATTAAAGACACATTATGAATGTGTGTATGTACTTATGTATAATTTACAAGATATAATTACAGTTATCAGGCTATGAGAAATGTTAAGAAAATAGTATTACTACAATATGCAAAGTAAAATGTTTGTTCTGTGAGAACACGCTTCTATGTAGCCTGAAACGTGCGACTAATATCGTCGTTTTCCTTTTTTCTTAATTCATTTAGAGTTCAACGCTGACTAATCGTAAATCAATGCATATTGTTATTTACGCTCGCTCTCCCATTTATACCTGCCGCATGAATCAGATTAGAAATCGTGCTCAACTTGAATGGCATTTACCTATACAATTTAAAAGAGAATAGATACAGCACAATTTAGAATAATATATACATAGAACAAAGTAATAAAAATGTAATCTTAACGTTCTCATAAAATCATACATATTTATCAAGTTATATTCATAGATCCAATTTAAATCGTATTCATTACATTAAAATAGTAATGTTAACTGAACATGAATAATAGAAGTAATGAGTACGGCCGTAAGCCTTTTATTTTTCTTTCAAACCACTCTATCTCGTAATCGAATTTCCGCGGGCAAAATAAAATTGTACCGATTTCGTAACAACTTCCGCTACTTCCACTTTACGCAAAGTGAAATCCACCTTTTGCACGCGATCGGTCGTGTCATGAATTGGATTACAACGCGAACGAAACAATTAACAATTATTATTACGATATACAGCACGGACAGAGTTGGCACAAGTCTTACCTTTAAACTAGAGCCATGCTATTAGGAAGCTCCGTTTGCGTAAAAGCACTTCCTCAAGGTAGTTACAAAGTACACTGAACGTTTATGCAATATTACTTCTGTTGCGACCTGCTAGCTGCATATAAATCTCATTGTACTTTGCTATAAAACTCTAGAGTCCTACGTCAAGTACAAAGACAAGCAAAGAAAGGTTAAAATTATCTAAAAAGGCTTAAATAAAATTAATAAATAATACTGATCATATTATTATGTTGCTACTATTCTATAATTTTTTAAGTAATTGTCCTACTTTTGTAAAAATGAGTTTATAAATTTAATCACATTTGTTATTTTACGGTAATTTTACAAGTAAATTTATAATGCAAATAAAAACTACAATAAAACATACCAATGAATAAATTCATTGATTGTTGTGCAAAGTAACATTATTGAAAAATTATATATATATTATATCACGCACAATATCAACTGTACAACTATTTTTTTATTACTCTATTAATTTACAATTACCAGTTGTTAATACAACTAACAATTAGATGAGAAAAGGATCACGTATTAATAACATTGAATCAAAAGGATCGATAGATGATTAATAATGGTTATTGGCAATTTGTTCATTGTTAGAAAACGCTGTCATCTCAATATCGCAGTTAAGATACATTGAATATCAAAGTGACAGGACGTGTCAAGATTGCTTGTAGCGCACGTGCAGTGGGCGGCGTCCGGGGAAACACGTTTTACCGCGGAAAAACGTTTATTACGAAGAGAGAAAGTATGCAACAACGCGTGCTACGTAATGCACCGCATGCTGCATTCATTATTCATGCAACCGTTCTATCGGATAGATAGCGTGTGATCGCGTATTCGCAAACGTGCTCCCGTTATTGGGGAAGTTGCTCCAGTTCCTTGGTAAGCGGTCAATAGAAAGGAAATTTATTTCGAGTAGTGCCTGCTGCTCGTCTACGAAATTATTACGAATTCGAGACGACACGGGGACACAAATATGACGTTGCAATCGATAACCACCTCACGAACGAAGGCGAATCGATTAAGAAAACCGACAGTTCTTGGCGACGTTATACGAGTATCTTAAATATCCCTTATTTAAAATAAAGTTACTTGGAGAACCGTGCGGAGATGCTCACGATTGAATTACGGTTCGCTTAATAAGAAACTAAAGAGGGAGGAGAATGAAAGACAATGCAAGATCCGGATGAAGTCTTCCAATTAAAATTTGATTTCCGCTGGGTAAAGTCTTTTAATTAAAAATTAAAGATAAAATCTTACCATGCCGCTTTGCTCGCCATAAATTCGATGCGTATCATTCAGCGCGTACAGCGTAATTCGTCAAGATAAAATACCGTGTCGAATGCATCCCCGGATTGCCGTATAAGCTCGAGCTGATTCTGATCTAACCGCGATTGAGATTCGAGCGTTATTAGGTAGTTCACCCGGCTGACCGAGGGATACATTTGTCGGGATAGTAATCAAGATTTATCGTCGTGAGATATGTGCTACTGGCAGACTGGGAACCTAATTAAATGCCCGTGTATGTAAATTATTATATGTATAGGTGTTAGTGTCGCGCCTAGCAGCGAGCTCTACGCTCGAATGAGTATTACCCGACTTGGGGGCGTGATCATTAACAACGGCTCGATTAAAATCAACGATAGGACGATATTTTCTGCCAACCGGTTCGAATGCGAGACGTTTCGGTAGTTATCAGTTGGACATCAAAGCACATACAACGTATGAGTTAATCACGGTCTAGTAACGTGCGGTATAGAGCATTCTGGAATCCACCTCGTTTTCATCACTTTCTCTTCTCATCAATTTCAAAAAAGCATATACAGGAAAGTCCTCCGTTACAAGATAGGATTTCAATATAAGATAGTAAGCTTTTAACACCCAGATTCAACCCCAAATCTTTTTTTTCGCAACGATTACGCGATCTAATAATCCGTTTTTCATCAAACACTCCAAGGGCGATAAATTCATGGTGGAACCAACAGACGATGCCTATTAATTTAGCAGAAACTCCGCTATTTCATATTCGAAAGCCGTCTCATAATAGCGGACTTTCCTCTCTATGTATATATCGGACAATAACAAAAGAAAATTATGAAAATTAATATAAATTTAATACATACGAAACTAGATTTCTAAAAACATCTTTTTTAAACGCAAAAAACTAATAAACGTAATAAATAAAAGCTATTTAGTAACATACAGGTGAGACGTTGCAGATGGATGAAAGTTAATAGGAACTTATTAGGAAGAGGCAGGATAATAAAGCAAGTTTAATAAAGCAGTGTAAAATTATGACAAAAAGAAGACAGATTGCGCAAATAAACGACTTGGCGATCGCAGTAGGTAATGTACCTCGCGTGATCGCATTTTGGGGCCATAGCGATTCTCTTTTTACTGTCGTTGCAGCGCGAGGAAACGCCTGCCTATCCGTATGCAGAAAAAGCTTGTCGCAAGCAATAATTCGCAATGCACCTGACTGCTACGGCAGTTATAATTGTATATATTTGCCAGTCGGCTACGCACCGTTGCGAACTGAGCGGCGATGTTTTATGAGAAACATCTGTTTCCATACATTATTCTGCGGAGATTGGCTGGCATTCTGCATTCTCGAGTCTGAAGTGGAAAAATTGAAAATCCCTGAGCGACGTGCGGTATAATTATGGGTGGGTGGGCAACGTGGACTCTCCAACACACCGCGGTAACGTTCACTTCGCTGTAAATGGCTCGCTCGTGCCATTTCAGAAAATTAATTGGAGAACGTAAGAATTTTCAACGGGATACACGCCATATCTATTTTAATTTTACCTTAGGGGGATATATCTGGCTCACATTTCATTGTTAAAGAGTAAAACAATAATTTTTTAATCTTTCAATCTACATTTTAAGCTCGGAATTAAAAAGAGTCCACTTTGGCAAAGAATTCAGCCTTTAGAGAAATTAGCCGAGAAATTTAATTCGTTTCAAAATTAACCTGTTAGGTAATTATTTGACGTAACGTGACAATTTTTTTCTGCGCAATTTTATATTTTATGTAATTTCTGTTTGATAAAAAATGTGTACTTAATAAATGCGTTCACCAAAGCGTAGTTGCGGTTTGCTTTCTCTCGGGAGTATACGAGAATCCTTACGAGAATTCATAGGAACGTAGCGCATTGCTAGCATGCACCAGCACGATTACGAGCTGAAATGATTGCATAATATTCGCGAACGCAGTAGAAATAGAGCAAAACGGTCATCGTACAAACAAGACATACGATCGGTGGAGCGATCGCGCGATCGGATATCGTGTCCCTTTTTCCCGCAGAACAGTTTCGCCGAGGTATGTGTAATTCCTCCTTTCCTGTTGCGCAATCGAAGCAGGCGGCACCCAGAATGTTCTCCAAATGAACGAACGGATCGTAAAGACACTCGTAAACCTTATGGAAAAGCGTCGACTTGATGCTGAAATCGTGCGGTGCAACCGCAAGAGATTCTAAGAACCTAATAAGATTAATCAATCGACTGAATTCGCCGGCGTGTTTTGTCGCCGGCTTCATTTTTTTAACGAAAACCCTGATTCATTCATAATAAATGCTCAGACGGGAAAGCAATATACTCGAATGAAAAAATTAGCGTAAAGAGCAAAACTACGCCTTAATAATTTAGAAGGAACAGACGGTTGCAATTTTCAAAATTGCAGGCAAAAATAATGATATGATACTAAGACAATAATTATTAAAAATAGATATACAATAATAAAGGGGGGAGATTGAGATGCCAATTATTAATAAAAATTGAGCGAATAATTTTTTAAGCACGACTACTTCATTGCTATGCTTTGGCGTAGCGTAACATTATGTAAGTCGCACCTAAGCTATCGGTTAGCCTACTTAGAAGTCGATCGGATCAGCCGTATTGAGATCCGATGACTTGAGGGCCTCTCAACTCGCGTGCTCGCGTAAAGATACACGATCGGTCTTACGCGCGCGGTATCGCTACGCTTGGCGCGAGACACTAAAGAATCAAGCAGACTTCGCGAAAATATTGGACACAATCATAAAGGAACTCAAAATTAATTCTAATCATTCTAATGTCACAATTAATGACTACGCACTAATGGCGAATTCGGTTGCCTGCACTAGTGCGCACTGAGTGCACACTAAGGCCTGTTTATAGTCGGCTCTTACATTTAACTTTGTCTTAAATACACGTTCAAAGAATATTCAGTCAAAAAACGATCCGTATAAACGTTACACGGACTATTTTTCTGGATAAAAAATATCAGTAAATTCTTATAATTGTCTGGAAACAAGGCTTAGGCCGGTATTCATAGTCGATTCTTATTTCAAAATCATCTTAAGTGTCGTCTTAAGACGCTAATACGGCTCTGTGATTGGTTGAAAACACATTAAGAGTATATTTAAAATAATCTTAAATATAAGAACGGACTATGAATACCGGCCTTAGTGTGAACTCAGTGCGTACTAGTGCACCAACCGAATTTGCTATAAGATACCATCGACCAGTACACAAGGTGGTTTCGGTTATTTCAAAAGAACAGCACTTATCAGTAAAAATCTTTGCGACATAGCAACTAGTGTAAAAAAATTCACTAGAATCCAATAAATCTGAAGATACTACGGCGAGTTTTAAAATATCTGAAAGAATTTTAACGTTGCTAAAAATTGGCTGTTGTTTGAAAGTATGTTGGTTTTAAGTACGTAGGTGTTTAAAAAATATGTTAAACGAACGAAATTGTTATATACACAATTGAGAACCATTTGCAGAACTTGTTGAACTATCTCGATGTGGCGAGCTCGTATCGATGAAGCGTATCGTGACAGTCGTCACATCCGTGGCTGTCGAGGCATTTCAAGGATCCACGCGAGCGAAGGAAGTTTCTCTGTCAACTGATGCGGAAACGCCGGTGGGGCGCGATTGCGATAAATTGTATAATCGAGTCAGTCGATTAATTATGTGTGTGCGACAAAAAAAAAACATGCGCGATTCGCATCGCGGCATCGAGTGCACGGCACCGGCAGCACGACGAAAAGAATAGCGACCGGCTTTAGGGTGGCTCTGTTTGGACTGTCCGTTGCTCGGCGACGTTAGATTGATTCGTAGTCGAGGCGTTTGCATAAAGTTTCCGCAAGAAGAACCTTTCTCGCGGAATGGACAATGTAATCAGACGGGTATGCAACCCGATCGAAGTAGATAAGGAAGTTGTGACTTTTTCATTAAAAAAAAAAGAAAAAACGTTTATATTTTTGCGTGAAAAGGAAATCCTTTAAGGCTCAGATGAATTAGATATGTTGAAGCCGCACACATTCATTAAATAAACGCTGTGATCGGCTTAGTCGACAAAGTGAGCGAAAACACTACATTAAGCTAATACTAGTTTGTGCGATCGAATTATGTAGCTGGGACCGTGAAGTACAGTCGAGTAGCAATATTAATGAAGTTAACTACGCGAAATTGACGTATTGTTTGACCGACCATTACCGAGAGCTCCAGCAAACCAGCTATCGAGCTGTTTTGCATGATTGACTTGATACGTATTGCACCATTAGCGGTTGCCAGTGAATATCCAATCCAATAAACTTCAGTAAATATCAAACAAACTGCGAATTTGTTCCAGTTTTATTTGAACTAATATAGCTTTGCTTTTAACATCTATTTTATCTACTTTGATTAATCTAGCTCTCGTTTCATTTTACAATTATTCAACGTTTGTATCGTTATCGCATTTTATCTCTGCAGTTTCATCTCATCTTATATGCGATCTAAGGGTTAAGAAAAAAAAACTTTGGTGACGTAATGCGCTATTTTGCAATTACGAAAGATATGCACTCGGGGCAAGATCGAATAAAACGACGCATTTTATCACAAGACGTAAAAATCGACTTTTATTATAAAATAAATAAAAGTGTTGCTGCCGGAAGACGAATAGTGGGGACAGGAAGAGATGGCCGCAGTGTGTGATGTCGTGGTCTCTTCTTTAATACGCCGCACAGAATTTCGATGTCGACGGAATGAGATGGCGAATGAGCACGAAAGGACCTGATTTGTTCATCGGTGTTCGTACGATGCGTGTCATATGTAGCGTCAAGGTAAAACGAAAAGAAAATGTGAGAGTGACGGGGGAGGCTTTTCTCAAGTCTGATTGCCTGGTCTTTCTGGGAATGGTCCTCGGGAGTGGCCCAAGACATGGCGGCTATCCTGAGGCAGTCGAATTTCATTTCGATCTGCCAATATATTGCAATTTTGCGAACGATATTCCTCCGTGATCCTCGATCCTAGGACTCGGAGATCCTCGACCCTCAAGGCCGGAACATCCATAATCTTCGGCGAGCGATCTCGCGCGGAATTGAAACGTCTTGCCGATGAGATAGAAAAAGAAAAAGCTCTCGGCAGAGGCTTCGCTCGTTGTTCTCGTTCACCAATCGTGGTGGTCGCTAATTCGCTGCCTCATGTCAGCCTCAGGATGGCGGGTTCGGCATGGACCACTCCGGACCAGCGGGTCTGCTGGCTCAGGTGAGGGGATCTAATGCCAGTCGCCGCCGTGTCCGTGGGTGGCCACGTTGGTGACGCTGGGCTCATAGTGCGGCGCCGGGTTGAAATGCTCGACTCCCACCAAATGCGGATGCCCTACGTGCCCACCAGAGTAGTGGAGGCGGGTGGTGTGGTCGTTACCGTGGAGGGCGAGCGGGTGAGCCTGTACGCCTGGGATGGGGGGGTTGCCGGCAACATGGATGTGCTGCGCGTGGTACCCCTAAGCATCAAAGAAAACAAGCCGATTTCGTATCACTTGTCCGAGTTGTTTCTTACGTAATACTAACGGTCTAATAATCTCGGAAAAAATCATTCTTTCTCCGGGGAACGTAATCCCTCATTACGAAATCGTTCCGTCGCGAGTGAACGCAAGGGAGTTTGAAATGCTTGAGCAACCACAATGGAAACTCCGAGACAGAAATTGCACAAATAAACGCGATCAACTTGATACAATTGCAGCCGCGTTTCGACACGGGGATAATTTATTTAATTGAGCAGAAAATCCAATGATAAATCAATTATTAGATATTAATACTGTGCAGTTATTGTTTTGCACCTAATTATCTCCAAACATTTCCGCTGATTTTAGCAATTAATAATATTTTAATATCTCATCAAACCTAGTTCTATTATATATAAATGTTCATTAAATAACTATAATATACGTGTAATTACTTATTTTCTGTAATGCGTGTGCGTTAACTTGGAATTTGAAAAAAACAATAAATATTTCAAGTAAGATAAAAATATTATGAAATAGTTATTATAACTTTTTAAAATAGTAATTGTAAAATACTTACAGCACTGGCAACAGCCACAATGGCGAACAGAACAACCTGCAATAAAAGAACATCATTTGATATTTAATACCAAAACAAATGCTAAAAATTTTACTTTTCAGTATAAGTTCTAGCAAAAACGTTTATAATCGTAAAATTACAAATAAATAAAAAATGAGAGATATACTATCTAATAAAGAAGATTAAAAAAATAAGAATAAAATAAAAAATACATGTAATGTATAAGTGTCATGTTATAATATTAAATAGGGGACATAAAGTTTTAAAGATACATTAAATGAGGTAAAGTAATTATCCAAATAATTAAATTTATAACATATAAATGTACAAGGCCTGTTTTCCTCTATTCTGCAATTTTGCGTGCAGATAAAAGTGCGTGTAAAATGAAAGTAAAAGTGATAAATCGAGGCGGCAAAGTCGTCGCGGGTGAAGGGAAAAACTTACGAATAACTTCATGTTGGCGAGCGGTGGTTTTTCTTGTGTTATGCGAGCAAACACTATGTCTTCAAGGGGCGACGCGGTATGCTTTTATAGCAGGTCCCTGCCCAAGTCCAGGCCCACTCCAGGGCGTCAGGCGGGGGCACGACGTAGCACGTCACACGGACCCCTTTCACTAACCAAGTAACCACGCGACCGACACCCTTTCGGGCCCCCTTGTTAGGTGCCCGCCCAACCGCGACGTCACGCCTTGTCACGCTTCCGATATTTTCGATATCAACGCCAACATCACCCTTGAAGATGCTGAAGATCGTGAGATGTGGCTTCTCAAAGAGGTAACTGTCGTTAATCTAGTTCACCGCAGCAATCGGTGAGTGTGAATGTGAATATGAAGTAAAATATGCTTTTCTTGGGCAAGAATGGCGTGTTGAATGGCATTGCCATTCAACTACAAATTACAATGATTAAATCGACAATAATTCACGCGATAGTTTGCGATTTTTTTTTTAAGGAATTGCAACGTTTCGTAAGATTGGGTAGAAGATTTGATCTGCGCTGGTTGATTGACTTATCTATTTATAATAGTAACACGGTCTAATTTTCAATTAATTAGCTCTAGATTAATTTTGACCTAATTCTAATCACAACGTTTATTTAACCTTTGTCCAAGTTTAGCAAAATTTCATAACGGAAGGTGTGTTGAGACCTATTACATGATTTGCGATTTCTTTTTTAAGGAATTACAACGTTTCGTAAGATTGAGTAGAAGATTTGACCTACGGTGGTTGATTCACTTATCTATTTATAATAGTAACACGGTTTAACTTTCAATTAATTAGCTCTATATTAATTTTGACCCAATTCTAATCATAACATTTATTCAACCTTTGTCCAATTTTAGTAAAATTTCATAAGAGAAGGAATGTTGAGACCTATTACATGATTTGCGATTTCTTTTTTAAGAAATTACAAAACGTTTCGTAAGATTAAGTAGAAGATTTGACCTATGGTGGTTGATTGACTTATCTATTTATAATAGTAACACGGTTTAACTTTCAATTAATTAGCTCTATATTAATTTTGACCCAATTCTAATCATAACATTTATTCAACCTTTGTCCAATTTTAGTAAAATTTCATAAGAGAAGGGATGTTGTACCCTATTACATGATTTGCATTATTATTTTTGCGTCTTGCATACATCTTACACAATTATTCTTAATATTGTTTATTACATTTTGTTATATAATTACAGCATAAAATTTGAGACATGTGTAGATATACAGGGTGTTTGGCAACGGGTGGAACAAAATGTAAAAAGTGATATATATATATATATATATTCTCTCTCTCTCTCTCTCTCTCTCTCTCTCTCTCTCTCTTTCCCCCATGAAATAATAAAATAAGATAAAAACCAAATGTAGCGAAATTTCGGTGTAGGCTTCGGTTTTTATCACGTAAAATCGCGATTTTACACGAATTTTCAAACATTTATAACTGAAATACGAAGCCTCCACTGCAATCTTGTTCTTCTTAAATTTTCGTCTTATTTTATTATGTAGAATCATTCCTTAAATTTTATCTCACCTGTTGCCGAACATCTTGTATGCATAAATTTATTATGTTTAATTTCATTCATTTCACTAATACGTGTTTTAATTACAATGCTTTAACTGTAGTTTTGACTTTTATTTTCTAATTTTCTACTTATATTTAAGCAACATTTAAATATATGTATATGGTAATATGACTTGATTAATAATTTATTTAATAATGCAAGAGTCGAGAATAAACCTAAAATTTAAAGGAATGACATATAACGTAATAGAGATAAAGTTTTACTACTGGCGCACATCTGTACTTTTGTAACGTAAAATTATTATCATTTTCTTGCACATATTTGTTATATATAAAAAAATCTGTAAATCGAAGTATATTGAAATTAATATCGAATTAACTTTGTAATGGCAGCTATTAATAAATATAATAATTGTATTGCTCCCTAGCTGAGTTAAAACGGGCGCTAAACGGGCTGTTATTGCATATTGCTTTGCTGCTATAATAAATGTTTCATTAATAATTTAATTAAATGGTAATTAATTCTGATTACAAAGTGTCCTAGTTTACAAGCGGTACAAGCGAACTTTCATAGACTTTTAAATGCAACCTCGTCACACTGCATGTTGACTAGTAAACAAGTAGTCTGTGCCCTGTTACACTTGACTGATCTTGGAGACTTTGAGAATGCGGCTCGGAAAAAGCTGTGAGGAAATTGTAGAACGGTGTATAGCACGTGTACTCATTTAATAATATATTGCACAATTTGTTATTTTGCATACGTTCTACACGTAACCGTGCCGGAATTTATTTCTTTCGCTCGAGCTCTATCGCAACTAGTCGTTATCACTCCCTTCGGGGGAAGGGAGGAAGAATGGAAGAAAAAAAAATTAACGCGAATAAAGGTAGGCATACAAATATGGAGGCGGAACGGAGGAAAGACGAACGGGCTGAGAAGGACGTGCTGGGTGGTCGAATAAAAAACGACAATGCAATTCCTGGTTTATCACAAGACGTACACAAATCAACTTTTATTAGAAAATAAATAAAAGTGTTGCTGCAGACAGTGAAGAAAAATAGGGCGGGATTCGAGAATGAGGGGGAAAGGGAAAACGCTCTCTCTGATGTTGTGATGTCTTCTTCAATATCACATTTGCCGCACGAGAATTTCGGTGTTGGGATAAACGGAGGAACAGAAAAAGACGCGGGTGTTCGTGTCCATGTGTATTTGTGTAAGGCGTGTCATATGTAGCTCTAAGATAAAGTCAAGACGAGATTTTTTTATTCTTGAGTTTGGCTGCCTGGTCTGCGATCCGCGAGTGGTCCACGATTTTTTTTTCCGTGTCTCCTGGGACTCCAAAAATTCCCCGGGGACGCTGATTTTGACGATTGTCAATGGATCCTTGTCCTTATGTTTGTCTGTATTGCAACTATATTTAGATTCCCGAAAAACCAGATACATCGTTGACGGAGTTGTCTGCTGTCATTGTTATGATTGATAAAACTCGGGATGACTGCCATTTCGGTATGAACCACTCTGGACCTTCGGTTTTAGTCAGGGGGCATCGTTAGACGGGGGTCCTTAGATTTACCAGCCGTGTCCGTGCTTCACGACGGAGATGGCGGGTTCCGGGGCGGGTACGTAATGCTCTTCACCGACGAGATGCGGGTGCCCAACATGGGGACCGGAATAATGTAGTCTAGTCACGTGGTCGTTTCCCTTGATATGCAGGGGAGCCGGATGTGGGGCTGGGATGGCGGGCTGCTGGGGAATGTAGTGCGCGTGGTAGACGTGCTGTAAATGATAACAAAATAATATTAACACTATGTCTAGAATATTTAAATATCGCTTTTGTGTACGTGTAAAAGTAATTGCAATTGACAAAGCAGAAAATAATCAATTATAGAAAATAATTCAAATAATGTATGTGTTAAAATTTTTTAATGCAAATGTTACATGTATTGATATATGTATTATAAACTATGCAAAAATATTCATTTATATCAATAATCCGTAAGAAACATTGACTTTGAAATTATTTCGCAAAACCACTTCGCAATCAAACGATGTTAATTCTGTGGCATCAATAATTTATTATAAAAATTAGAGCTGAATAAGATACTAAGTTAATTTGTATTATTAAAATTAACTGTTAAACTTGTATTGAAACAAAACTTTTTGAGTTAAAAATGTGTTATATATTTATGCGCGTTGTATTTTACTGTCGTTGTACAATAGAACTATGATAATACAAGGATAATCCATAATTATCAATAAAAAATTTAGAAAATTTTACAGAGATTTTACTCTTTCCTAATAAATACTTAACATTACTACCAGATTTCTGAACAGTTGTGAAAACGAATCGAACACAGGTAATCCAAGCTGCTTATCATTAATTATGCAACAAGGACTTGGAGGCGGAACAGGCGTTACGTAAACTAGCTGCACCGATTATTTCGGTGCAATTGAACCGGATTTCGTCACGGCCTGTTTATAGGTCTCCGATTAAGTAGGAAATCCAATTAGTTTACAATCGCGGACACCTACTTCGTTGCCGGTTCAGCTGCAGTTTAAAGCAAGAAATACACGTAACTGCTGATCAGATCTAGTAACGTAATGTAACATTAGAAATCGACCGGTTATTAAACGGACGGGGGAAGGCGCAATCAACGATACGAAATAGCACTTTCTGTTCGGTTTCCCGTTTGACATTTGCCGAAAACCGTTATTATTTACCTATCGTCTGTAATTAAGTAATTATGGCACTATCGTGTCAAATGTCTTAAGCAATAATATCGTCTTAGATATCTTTAGGTCACACTTGCGCAAGGTAAGATATATTAATTATCTCACTGCCTAGCGAGTATTTCTCGACTTCGGTCATGCGATAAACTGTAATTAGTGTTTCCTAACTTACTCATTGTTTCAGGTTCTGTTTCAGTCTTGTCGCATTCGCGGTACCGACTGGAAATATACTCTCATACGCTTGGTGTAATGTCAAGTGCTAAAGGTCTCTAGTTTTGGCGATATTTCTCTACTGTCATCGCCGTAGCGACTTCATTTCAACATTTCCCGTTAACGCATTACCTTCATCGGGCAATAAATGAATTTAGCCGACTTGTTTGCGGCTCTGCCAAAGCCGCGGAGAGGCGATCAAATGTATCTATCATGTAACACGATCGACCTCTCGGCGACAGTTTTCTACCACCATTACCTTGGCGTGCGCAACAGGAGCAGCGACCTTGACGTAATTGGGCTCGGGCGCTACCCAGGGCTGGGGCGCGACCCAGGGCTGGGGCGCGTGCACCACCGGGGCATGCACCACTGGAGAAGCGTGCACCACGGGAGCCGCCCAGGGCTGCTCGATCTGAGGTGCGTCAAACAGTCTGTTTCATATGATCGGAATCGATCGCCTTGGTAACACGGGTGTTACGTGAGGTTACTTTCCCGCCGAGTACGTCCAAAGTTACTCGGTCGTCGGAAGAGAAATAGAAGGAGCCTTCGTAGTCCACATGACGTTGATCAATCAGCAATGGTGTTTTTAAGAAATGAGGCGTTATCATAGGTCGAGAGAACATTGCCAAGAATAGAATGAGAATAATGTCGATGTAGAAACATCCACGAAGACGAGAAGAAAGATTAAAGGAGGTTTTATTACCAGTTGTGATTGTACAAATTTGTCGATCAGTAGATTAAAACTTATAGAGAAACGTAGCAAGTTCCAGTTCCTGCCGAGGTCAGAATATAAAAAGTACAGTTAAGCGAAACACGCCAGTCATGCTTGATGAACGACAATAACAGCGGCTTACTTTTGAAAGATTAATTTGCGAAAACTGAGAGATTAGAGAAATCTACAAGTCTTTTCCTCAAAAATAGATTAAGAAGAAGTGGCGATTACACAGACGGATACCTTAGTTAAAGTGCGTTTCCTCGAGTCGCTCGAATATCAGAAATGTTTAGTTATTTAAGAAGAAAGAAACGTTGAGAATCACTAAAAATTAATAACAAGAATGGAATAATTAAAGTTTGATTAATTACAAGAGTGAAGTCCAGAGAAATGGTAGTAACGTTGACAGGCAATTTACATTTGTGTTACAATAAAATTAGTATTTTACCATTACACGTTTGCGTATTCAAAGAGAAACAATAATTTAAATTAATATTTATAATACGAGCTTCTTTAAAGGACGATTATAAAGTACTTGCCTCATATCCAGCGCTGGCGACCGCCACAATGGCGAACAAAACAACCTGCAATCATAAAACAATATAATGCAGTGCAATGTAATGCGCACGCACAATAAATAATATATATAATAATGTAAAAATATATTATATACTCTGCGTATACATATTTGATCTTTATATTATGATACAATAGAAATTACGGAAAACCAATAATTAAACAAAATTATGAACGATTTAAATTAAGATATAATAATTGAAAATTAATTAATATTTTTAATTGACATTATTTGTATGTACATAATGTAAAATAAAATGGTTGAAATATTTATAGAATTAATTTGTATTATTAATAATGCAAAACAAATGCAGCAGAAACGCCTAGGCAAATGCAGAACTTGCGACACCGCGTAATAGAATCCCCACGATCAGTCGCAGGGGGATTATTCTCGGGCACAACGATTAACTTTTACTTCCTCGCGTTGTACACGCGAGGAGAAACTTACGAAGAACTTCATGGTGTGTGATGATAGTTTTTCTTGTGCGCTACGCGGGGAGACACTACGTGTTCGAGGGGCGACGCGGTATGCTTTTATAGCGGAGCCCTGCCCAGGCCCAGGGGGGCCCAGGGATGAGGCGGGGGCACCGACGATTGCACTGCTTTGGATGCGGACCCCTTTCACCAATAGCGGGACCCTTTCAGATCCCTTATTGGGAGGCTCGGTTTCAATCAGCCACGATCGTACCTTCCGGTACCAAGACGGGACCCTTAAGGACGCTCAAGGATCATGGCCCATCGAAGGAGGGCACTCCAAATGAAATCCGCCGCCGGTGGAAAAAGCAGGTCGCTCGAATAAAGAACACGAATTCATTTACGGCGCGAGACAGGCTACTAAATCTATCGGCAATTTGCAAAATCTGAGATGGATAATTTTTTTCTATTTTCAGGAATTGGTCTATTTCGTAAGTTTACGTGGGAAAGTGGATTTACATAAAGCTAAATTATTACGTTTCGCAAGATTGCATGAGCAAATAGACACACACGTATAAAGCTAAAGGAAAGTAGAACTGGACTATATACTCACCGCGTGGCTACACTTAATGCTTTGTTTTTAAATGTTTCCAATGTTAGAAGCAAAGATTTTTGTTCGGAATTAGAAGGTTTAACACCGCTAATCGAAAACATCTAGAACCGTTGCTACTGACTGTTAGTTTACCGCGTGTACTTCAATCTGTCTTCCGTCATGTTTCTTCTAACATTAGATACCACTATCCTGTTACGGAACGGATCACCTTGTACGAACGAATTGCACAACTTTGACAAACGGCACCACATCATATTCACAATCGTCTTAATAAGCACTGCTGATTTCTCGCTTCTCGTCGAAGATCGATCGTTCCGGATCCACAGATCACGGTCGTGATGTATTGATCACGTTGTTAAATCGCAGCGGTTACTAACCCAGCATGTAACGAGTAACGTTAGCAAGGAGTTCGCGTATTGCAGGTGCGCCAGGCGTAACTCGTGCTGATGAAGTCGGCTGATTAGGATGTAACGCGCTCCAGGAAAATCCAAAGGCGAGTTTACGAGAAAGAAAACGCGCTCGCGGGGTGTTTGTTTTTTTTCCTTTTTCGTTGCGCGACTTGCGTAAAAGACGTGCCGTGCAACCATAAAATAACAATTGGCCCTATCTTTCCGCGCGATATCTCGCCGTAACTGCCTCAGATGAAATATACGACTCTCGCGTAATAGAGCGTAATTACGTTATAATTCTACGGGAAGCAGAAGATGGTCGTCCGTTTTTCTCAGACGTTTCGCGGCGGAAAACGGCGTTTGAGAAAAATCTGCCTTGGACCCCAATTAACGCGAATTTGGCAGGAAACTGGAGAACAATGGATTTCCGCGACGCGAGATCCGTCGGCGTGAGTTCTGTCTCGCTGTCAATTTCGCAACCGTATCCGACGCCGCTATTTTGGAAAAAGAAACGAGTGAAAACGACGATGTAGTAGGAGAACGGAAAGAACGAGAATTGATTCCACATTTCGGTTGCGGCATATTCGTTCCACCGCGGTTTCTTCTCGAAACCGCATAAACTCGAAATAAATCCTTTTTTTTATCCTTTTCCACACTGCGAAATCCTTCCTGGCCTGGGGCTAATTAATTTATGGGTAATACAATTCCGTTTAATATACGGTATATTAATTTCATAACGGCGAAATCCGCCGTTTCTTCACTCGGCTCGAGTTTAATTAACTGACGATATACAGTTCCGTCCTATATACGCACATTAACGCTGCAATAGCGAAATCTGAGTTTCTTTAATCGACGTTTAGCTGGTAGCGCGCGAGGAGAACCGTGCGATCTGTTTCTTCTGTTTCTAGTCATTTGTCTCACTAAAGTCGGTCTCGTGTCGAAATCACTGCTACGCTGAGAAATTGGCACACGAACGTAGAGCTAACAATAAGACTTTTCAGAGTTATTATTGCTGTGGATTAACCAGATAACATGTAATTTAATAAGGCAATATTCTTTAACGATTCAATAACACATTCTTCCATAATTTCATTTCCAAGAGATTCCTTTTAAAATTTTATAGTTTTATAAATGGAATATGTTTACTTACTCTTAAACAGATATTACAAAAATGTTATCGACGTTGCCAATGTGTGAAAAACGATCTATTAATTAAATGCTCCATTATTTCATGATGTCGATTGTCAGTTTAACTCTTTCTTTTTCAATGATGAGTTTTAAATTAGTTCTCTGTAGCGCGCCGATTCATTATTACGTTCTAACAATAAATTTACATTCCAGTAAACGATACTTGTTCCTCTGCATTTTAGCGCAGTTCCTCCGAGGCAGACAATTCTTTGGTCACATTGTGAAATTGTAGATACATTTCGTACAGACAGTAGCTCGGTCTTTCAATTTTTAGTACACAGTAGTTTCAGTAATTTTCCCCCTGTGCGTCATTCACCCTCGGGTCTAATAAACGCGCGCTTTATGAGCAGCGCTAATTTCGCAACTACTGGTTACTAGAGGTGGCTATAGCCATGAACGCATTTAGTTCTGGGTCACATCGAACAACATCTGGTTCTCTCTCTTTCTCTCTCTCTCTCTCTCTCTGTCCCCCTCTCCCTCCCCCCCCCCCTCTCTCTCTTTCTCTTTCTCTCTGTCTCTCACTCTCGCTCTTGTTCCCTTCGAAAGCACGAACTGCATAGTGCGATTTTTGCGAGCGCAAAATCGTCGTTTCCGAGCGGTAGAAGTGAACGCCCCTACGTTTCTTCGTCGTCGGCCGCGCTTTTTCCGACCGATTAGCAATTACCCGCAAAGACTAAGGCCGACGGTCGCCTTTACTCGGTATAAAAGCCGCGGTACCTCGGTACGCGATTTGCGCAACTCCAGCCAAGCACGATTCGTTGCATTTCTCACAAGTGTATGCGCGGAACAACAACCCCGCGTGGATGTAGATACGTCGTGCAGTGGAATCGTTGCAAAACCTGGGAAGTTTAACGATTCTCATTATTTTGTAACGTTTCACGTTCGCTCTGTTCGGATCAGACGAACAAGAGAGGAAGAGAAAGAGATATGGACGCGTGTTCGTCGATGCAGCGGGCGCGCGGGAAATATTAATGCAACGCTCGCGTTGCATCGCACTGTGATGCCCGAGGGAGATTTCGCGAGTGAAACCTTTAAACAAGCCTTTAAATATTTCAACAACGTACGGGCGTATCGGGAAGAGGGAAAGGGTATACATTTATATTTTTCGACAATTCGTAGGAATATTTTTTACGTAAATATCAGCACACAATGATACGAATTAGAAACACGAGAGAATAAATAAAAAGTTAGTGAAAGCATGCGAGTAATAACACGAAAATATGTCGCCGTGCGCTCTGTTTTTTTTTTATATTTTGCTTGCATCGCGTGTAATTTCGCGCGATTACGTTATATCGCGTAGTTTCTTATTAGCCGGCAGGTGCAATCTGTGCAATTTGATTAGATAATTGACACACGTGGATAAAATCGAAAAAAATTCGCAAAATCACGTTCCGTTCGCTTATGCACCGTTGCACCGCAGCCCGAACGCGCTTTCCCCCGCGGAAAATGCAATTCGTGCATCGCTGCACTCGATAAACCAATCTCAAGCACGTGTACGAAACAATTTTCGCTCGCAGTACATAATACATTAAGCGGGTCGCTATAACCTCCATGTTAAACGTTTGCTATTTGCTTTTTCAATTGTGTTACTTGCTACGATGAAATCGATAAATGAGAACAGATGAAAGCATCGGCATACTTGAAACTTATACATTGAAAAAAAAAGTTTGCTGCCGTAGCAAAACATGATTTGCTAAAAATATTTTGCTGCATTAATTATTAATTATAAATTTCTAAACCGCAGCAAACGGTTTGCTGTCGCACCTGATATAATAGGCACAGCAGCAAAATATGATAAGCATGATATTACACGGGGAGAGAATTTTCTCTGGAAATTTATCCCGAAAATCGTGAGGCAATGCGGCATTTCGAGGACTTTTATGAGAGTTTTTTGAAATTTTACCACACATTTTACTAGTAAAATATATGGTAAAATTTCAGAAAACTCCCATAAAGTTCTTCAAAATGCCCACGATTACGCGATTTTCGGGGTAGATTTTAAGAGAAAATCCTCTCCGTGTAGCTGCCGCAACTAAATATTAGCTGTCCATATTTTACAGCTGAAATTCAGTTACCACGTGCAGTTTTAGCTACGGCAGCTACATTTTTTCCGCGCACCATTTCCTGACAAAAAAAGGGTAAAGTTACTTTACAAACGGAGAGTCTCTCATGCGCTCCTTCGCGGGGATTACGCGTAATCCCGCATACGCACAGTAAAAGGCAAGTGTAAACTATTTCCGGTTTCCGCAATAGCGGCAATTATGCGGTAGCAGCTAATTATCTATTCTCGTCCATTATCGCTTCCTGCGCGCCGAGAGTCAATCGCAGTCGGTCGGCAAAGCATAACGCTAGATAAAGTGGATGTCGCAATTTGCGGCTAACAGACGCGCGAATCATCCACCGAGTGAATCATCCATCGGCGAGTCACGATTTACGCATCCGACCATGAAAGTCGAGATTAAAACAAACGGACAGACGAGTAGCGAATGAACGAAACGTATACACGAATACGCGACGATATTGCGTTTCTTTTTTCCTTTGCTCGCCCCACCGACTTCCACGGGATGTAATTTCGATGCGTGGATATTCGAATTTCGCTCGGTATTAACCGCCGCGTTTACGGCGATCTTGTGCAATATGTTGCATTGTGTTCCGTTTGTCGGGCGGCTGTTCTATTGCGCGGAGAAGTGATTTCGCACGATAGCGCGGCTGCGATCGCGCACCAAAACACGCGAGAGTATTCGCGAATAAGCGCTGATGAGAAAAAATCGTTTAGACGGGCGAGATTCTTTACGTAAGATCGATATTGCACAAGGAACTTTCGTTGCAAAAGGCTGCGATACATAAAAATAAGGATTCACCACTTTTAATTGAACTTAAACCGTATATTTTAATTCACAATGTAGAAGGTAGAGAAAGCGGCATACGCATAGCAGAACATACCCGCACATATTTCATTTTAATTATTGTTATTTCAAGTTTCGACATGTAATTAGCGGACGAAAGTCCCTTATTATAAAATAGGATCCTAATATGGGATAGCGGGATTTCCGTTAAATTAATAGGCGTTAATAGGCATCAGTTGATTCCACCATGATCTATTGCTCTGGGAGCGAAATCTGTTTAGTGAAAAATTCGTTGTTGGATTGCGTAATCGTTGCGAAAAAAGATTTGTGATTGAAGTTGGACGTTGAAAACCTGCTATCTCATATTAGAAACGTATCTCATAATAGGGGACTTTCCTCTCTATATTAGTACACTGAGTTTTAAATTGTACAGATAAAGCTGTACATATTTTATATGAATTTAATTTTTATTTGAAAGAAACCAATAACGAGACTCTATTTAGAGGGAGGTCCAGGTTCAATTCCTGGCTGAGGTATTATTTTTCGCGCCAGACTTAAAATTACAATTATTTAGACGCCAACATTCCTTGGCTCTTACTCCTTTGTTACTTCGTATTTGCGCTTTCACATTAGAGCCTTTTGAATTTTACTAATTGTTTAAAGCACTATTTGTTCCTTATACAAAACTCACTTTAAATCTTTTATCACGTTAAATCTTCGAAGGAAGCAGATAATAAGGAGATTATTTTTAGACGCAGATAACGAACGTAGTAATTACAAACGTTAAAATTAATGAAGCACGGTAATTATCCCGAGCGTGATTTCATTATG